AAAAAAAATCACCAACAAAGCCCCATGGATTTCATTGCATGCAAATTACACTTCAATAAAAAAAAATGTACAAAATGATGTAAAAATAAACTGTTATATAATAATAATAAAAAAAAAAACATTGGTTTTATGATAGAACGTAAAATGGCATGAACACATGGTCTACACAGGTGAGGAAAAACGAAAAGGGAGATAAGCCACTGCTCTGTAATGACATTATTCCATAAATTGTTGAAACCTACTTTACATTTATTACAATTAGTATACTTCATTTGGATCAATACGCAGCTCACTCTCTGATGGCTTCACAGAATGAGACTGGCTGCTGACTCCCAGGATGACGCCCCTTACTCACCAAGAACAGGCTAACTAAATAGGTGAGCCCACTTAATTACATAAATATGAATTAGTAGCTATGTAGAAGAACTTATTCCTTAGGATTCAGGAAGCTAAAATTTTTATTCTGAGTGCAGAGAAACTGAAAACCAGTCAAAAACTACCAAGGATTTTCTAATCAACGTCCTGCAAAATCATACGATAAAGCAACTACTAACTACCTCACAGCCAAATGTTTCCTCAATTTCTCTGCGTACAGTGCTGAGCGAAATAATAGGCTAGGTTTGAAAATCAAAATATAGCCCAGCATTCTCTACCAATTGCCTCTCACACCTCAAATGACAGCTCAAAAAGAAGCACTCACCACATCTGGGTGTCCACATCATATCTGTAGAGGTCGTCAGCAAGGCGGTATTTATTGGCGCTGAAGGCCTTGTAACCTCCGTGAACATACAGGGCCCTTGTCCTGCGGTCATACACACTGCTATGGCCATAGCCTCCTTGGACAAGGGCTCCATTTGTGTGCAATATGCCCCATGTGTTCTTGTCTAGAAAGGGAAAACAAAGGCAGAACTTGCAGGCTCTTCTCTAATACGTAAAATACCAAAAAGCTTAGGACCGGAAGAGATTTCAGGAGACTTGATATAAAAGTCCTTTTATTTTTAAAGGAAGGCCACCAATGTTCTAATGTGCCATGTGGGAAAAGAATTACAGTAAATGTAAAAGACTTCTATGCCTCCCAGTTGAACACTTAACTCCCCATGACCGTTAGAGGCCAATACATAGACGTACTTTATAGGCCTGCTTTCTCAAAATACCAATTATAGCTGGTCTACCTAGTCCACAATAACAGAGGTAGTAGTTTAACCAAACGAAGATTACATATTCCAAGGAAATCACACCAGTGTCTAAAGGG